CCTTCAACGAAGAGTGATATGAATAAAAATAATAATGTATAAAATTCTGTTTCAAGGTCTCTTGCAGCAGAGGTGAAAATTTATCACAAGTAGCTGTGTGAATGTCATAAGACATAGAACCCGGTAAAGATACATGCTTAGAATGACAGAAGCAGCAAACAACAATACCTGCTTCCCAGAAACATCCGTAATTCTAAGCGAGTTGCTTAGAAGATAGTGCTGAATCACTTCAAATAAATATTTTCAGGAATCAGAATGAAAAAACCTCTTTAAAAATGTAGCTGCCATTTTTAAATCTTGATCTGTGTCTTCCGGATGTTCACTAGATTGACATCTACTCTGAAGCAGGAATGCTCAAGAACAAACCAAGGCATAAGAGTTCTGTGCAAAAACTGCATCTGGAATTAAGCACAGACCACATTCTCCACCCTGCTATGCTCCTCAACAACTGACATCCCTGACTGTTAGATGTGGATTTCGTCCTGCTGCAAAGGTACCCCCGAATTGCCTTCTCAAACACAATGGCCAGAACTACACCTGGAGATGCAGCACAGTCATGGCCAGACAAAGCAACACGGGACCCTGCATGACCAAGGACAAGCATGACTTAGTTCACCACTAGCCTGCTGCGAGGTCAGTCCCTGCACCCCAATGCAACAACTGCCATGTGTTCCTGGTGGCCTTGCAGACCTTCAGTGGTCTGTGGACTACAGACTAGGAATCAAATACACAAAAAGTGTTTAGAAAAACATGTAAGAAAAAACCTGATCTGGATGCAATCTCAGTTATTCCTTACCACAAGCAGTGTAAATACAGTATTGTTCACTGCCACCTTGCAGAAAGGAGTTCTTAAAAGGTATCTGGAGACAATGAAGCTCTAATTTGCAAAACACAAAGGAGATACAAACTCCCCTGCTACCTCTTGTCCCTTCCACACAGCTGGACTTGTCTCTAACAAAGAAAGATTTCTCCTCTCTAGTGGACTTCAGAAACGGTGTGATGAGAGATGTTCAGCTTGCTCTGTTCCTTTAACTGAGCTCCACGTTACTCACTCTGCCTGCAAGTACAAAAGAGGTGGTTGAACACAAACTTCAGAGGCCACCTTTGGTCCTGTATCCTGTCACTGATAAAAAGATTTTAAGAATGAAAACAAGAGTCAACATATTCTTTTCTTCAATGAGTAACAGAAGTAAGAAGAAAATATGGATTCTTCCCAGTTTTATAAACAGAAAGGAATGCCCTCTCATTCCACACTCTGCTTTACCTATCTCCTAAACAATCACATTACAGGTCTTCCACTTCTCAAATCAGGACAGGGACACACAATCAGGAGTTCCTGATACACTCCTACACTTCTTGAGAAACAACTCTCAGACACGCTCCCCATACTTCTGGCAGGGTCAGAGAACAAAGCTTTATTAACCAGAGGATGAAACATGCAGATAGTTTACAATGTAACATCTGCATTCCTAAAACATGGGGAAACTCACTTCTCTATTTCAAGATGTCACTTACTGTGCAGGATAACCCTTCTGGGTTTAGCCCGAATCCTCCGGCTGCAATTTCCACAAAGAGAAACAGATTTCCTGGGGTAGCCAAGGGCATCTCCTACCTTTCTGCACCATTGGAGCCTCAACACCCTAACATCCCATCATACTTCATCTTCAATTCTGTAATCCTGTTCATGGAAAAGAGCACAGTGAAGGCATCGCAGAAGACAGCTTATATTTCTCCTCATTTTAACATTGCAATGTCTCAATACAATAGAGGACAGGTGATCTCTCTGCCAAGAGATGGTACAACAAAAAAAATCTGTCAGCTCATTTCTCAGAGGCCTCTGCAGCACACAGATTTCAAACAGTATTTTTACAGCATCATTGTCCTCCTCAGTAAATATAAAGTCACCCCACTGCCTTCATGTTAAGCCTGCAGAGTTACTCAGACAAGTGCATAAATAGTTGTTTTTCTGCTGCTATAATCATAGTCATTCATCGTCTCTGGATTTAATCTTCCTCAAAAGATTACTGGATCTAAGCATGAGAGACACAAAGGAAAGAGGAAGAGACCAGGACAGACAGAATTAGATTAAACATTGCAGTCTCCACTGAGCACTAGAGTTGTCACATACAGTTCTGACTGCTAACATACTTGGTTCATGTAGAGCAGGTTTTTTCTTATTGAAATAGCTAAATACAGAGATATACAAACTGAACATAAGACTTAGGAGGGACACGTAAATTACAGTCCCTACATTTGAGTTATAAACTCCTGAGCTAGCTTTAAACCACCTAGCTCTTGTATGGCTGCAGTAGCATGAATTTTGGGTCAGCCTTGTCACCAGAAGCATGGCCATGCAGCACCACATTGTGTTTTCACCCTGGAAAATTATCAGGTCCAAAGATGTGAATCTGAGGGTCCTAGAATGAGGCTTCACAATAACAATTCATGTACCAACTTCTACCTGCTCCCATCATCTGCTGCCCACATTCTTTTTTGGATCTGGCTCTTACAAACTGAAAATGGAAACTTTTTTGTTACAAGAGCAAGATGAAGATTCACCACATGTAAATAAAGGAAGAAAAATACTTGAAAATGCCTGGTGATCCAAAGAAAAGGATAACAAAATAATAAAACCCCAAATGTATTAGATAATATAAATTCAAATAGCTAGGAATAATTTTCAAATCATATTCTTGTAAGGAAAGTAATTCTTTCATACTATCACTTCCTCACATAAAACATGCTAAGGAAGTGCAAAGTATGATTTCAGCATCATCATCCAAGCATGCGGCATACTGAGGAGAACCAGCATGATAAAAAGGTCCATGATCCACCTACCACTGCAAACTTCCCTTACACATGGGAAGCCCACTACTGTATGCAGTTTGTTTTGAACAGAACAGCACAGACACAACCAAAGAGCATGCAGTCACAAATCCCTGAAATATTGCTCCAACTTTCAACACTTCATTACTCTTTAGTAGTATGTCAATAGATTTTTTTCTTTCACGTTTTTCCCCAACTCTTTAAATTCATTTAATCTTTCAGGATTCACAAATCCTGTTACAAGGAGTCCCTCAGCCTTCTCACATACTGTACAGACTTCTCCACTGTCACACACTGTGTATACTTGATGTACCCAGTTCCTATATTGGAAAAGTCAGCAAACAGTAACTCTCTACTTTATGTCACTCATAAGCCTTAGACAAATCCTTGGTCATTGGTTTACCATGCTGAAGACTCATATTCTGAATATTTTACCCTTATCTTTAAACACTTCACTTCCCAAGCCTTTAGGACAGTATTTTTTTGCACAACAAAGAGCAAATCCATTTCCTCAAACAGACGGTGTAAGTGCCAAACCTTGAACTCCATGGCAAATGGGTGCAACCATTTTTCTGCACAGTGAAAGTGAACAACTTGTCTTCTAAAGGAGCTATTCAAAGTTACCCCGGTTGACTGGGAACTGATAATATACAGGGAACACACTTGAGACTTTTTACACATACTGAGTTTATTCTTGGCTAGCCACCCAGTTTAGCTTTACATTAGAACCTAGACTTTAAGGCTTGAATTATGTATGAGAATCCAGATAAGCTTACAACATTAATACTGTACACACAGAAGAAAACCTGCCATTAGCAATTCAATGTATCATTTACATCATTATAATAATAACCAGAATTCCCTTTCTTCTATTAAATTTGGGCATAACAACTGCATCACTTTGACATTTTGATTCCTTGTTCTTAACTTACAGCTTCACAAGTATGCTCCTATTAACTGCAACAATTGTGAACATGAGCTTTATCACATGAACTCTTGACTGGGATCCATTACAGTGTCATTCTGCCTCTCCTATTGCATCTAGAATATCATGGTTTCAGAGTTCAGGGTGCTTTGTAAAAGCAATTTATCTGCCATGGGTACTAGCTTCTCACTTTACTACAAGAGACATCTTCCAGAGCTCTATTAGTCTGAGAGGGTTAGCAGAAATTAACACACAGAAGAGGGGGTTTGGTGTTACCAGTGACAAAAGCATTTGTATACGCATAAGTAATTAAGGTGTTAGCAAGGACTGTTGATTATGGCACTACTTTAATAAGCCTGTAAGATCGTGCTTTTGTGCTACGTAATGCAGAGGACAACTGTAAACAGTTTAAATTTTAAGTATTAGAGGGGATGTAAGAGTAGACAAGGGACAACTGGGGTGAACATTGGTGAAGATCAATAAAATAAGCAGAGACAGAAGTCACAGCCTCCTATTTTAGCAGTCTCAAGTACCATTTAAAGGCCCATCTTGCACAAATGCCCAGGGGAATGAGACATCTAGGAAGGACAGGAGAAGCCCTTCCTATTAGGCTCAAGGGAAAAAGAATGGAAGAGAAGCCCTCTGACTCGGTGAGGAAGAAGTCCTGGGAATCTAACTTACGAGAGACATCGTGACAATGGGGTAATATTCAGCAGCAGGAAATCATTAAGAGGAAGATCAAGGTAACCATCATATTCTGCAAAGTCAATGGTATTAGAAGTGAAAGGTACACCAGACAGCAGATAGACAGGTAGAGCCTATGAAATGATAGGAACAGTGAAAGAGCCTTAACAAAAGGGTAGAGTTAGGAAGACAAGCTAAAAAAGGAAAAAATAAGGCAATGCCATGAAAGGATGTTTTCCAGGAACTGTCACCATGTCATAAATGCTAGGGTTTTTTTCCTGGGGGAAAGAAAGGGCCACCCAAGTTACAAGGCACAGAAATGCAGCCCTGTGAATACAGTACTCCCTGCTAGGCTGCCTGCTCCATCACTACAATGCTCCACTACATTCAGCCTGAAGACATGGCCACCACCCATCAAGCTGGAGCAGAGTGCTGACCCAGGGCCTCATCAGGGCTGCACTCCCATACTAAAAGGCAAGGACAGTCACTAACAAAGCCCTTGGCTGAGCAATGTCTCAACACGCTGTCACAGCCTACAGAATCAATTTGTTTATTGTTACAGAATGCAAGACAAAGATCTCAAAAACACTCTTGTCCTGGAGCTCTGCCGAAATAATCTCACTCAGTATATTCAGATTTACAAAATGAATGTGTTCATCTTCAGTTAAGCAGCTTTCCCAATGACCAGCACACTCATGAAAAACACCATGATAAAGAAAATCCACATGAAAAACCTATCCATCACTTTTGCAACTTTTTTCCACTCAATTCCTTTGGCCTTGTTTGCTTTATGGTCTCGAATACAATTGGCAATATATTCAATGTTCTTAATCAGCATTTTGTAACAGGAACAGCAGTTAACAGTCTCCCTAACATTTTCACCATGAACGTCATAGCTTTTATTCAAATTTCCATTGAGCTTCTCCTTGAGAGCAGAGTCATCATTGCTATTAGAAAGGCAACTCCTTACCTCTTTGTGCCTGCTCTGGCACCCATCATCCCCCTCTAACCTACGTTCTTCTTCCTTCTCTCTTTTTGGACTTGTGCAATTTTCACCCACATCATAAACAAAAAAGATTTTTGACATGTAGTCCAAAATAACCACCCTGGCCCATTGTGGAACAGGCTTTGCTTCTGAGCCACAGTGATGGAGATTCATTATAATGATCGTCAGTGCAGTGGAAGCTGTGATCATGGTCATAGTTGCTATGTAATACTTTCCTGGAACACAAAATAAAATCATATTAAAGATGCTACACTAATAAAAAAATTCAAGACAGAAATAACATGACAACGTAGTGCAAAACAAATGCAAGTAAAACCAATTTTTAATAACCCCCATTCTCTGTCCTTAGATCACACTTAATTTATCATTTAAAATCAAAGATTAAAGCCATTAAAGTAAAACCTCATACTTGTTACTGGCATGCTTTTATCAGATGAGTGACTATTGTATTAGCATGGTAAGTATTTGCAATCCAAAACTTCTGATTTCTCAAGATACACACATTCAGAAAGCAGCTTAAAAATATTTTTCAGGAGCCTTGCTCTTTCCCTGATGTCTGCAAAATCCCAGTGTTGATGGCTTCACATAGCACATCAGAAATCCCACTTCTTCATGTATTAACAAAAGCAATGGTAACACTTTGTCGGAGCTATTGACACACTCCACACCAGCGGATGGATGCCTTTGCTTTCACACAGGCCAGTGCATATCCAGACCTCGCTGGTATCCACAACCAGTGTACTGACAGCTAAGAGGCCAGGCACAGAGTTGAAGGCTGGCTCCACTGCCTGTTGAGACTTGCTGTCTGGATATTCTACAGACTGTACAAATTTTAGCATGGCTAGTCCAAACAAGGACAAAGTTCATCCTGACCAGGAACAGATAACAAATACAGTGAATACATGCAGTGTCCCTCGGTCCCTGCTCTTCAACAACTGAAGTACACAGCTGACCTACTGTGCCTCGTGCCTTATGCAAAGAGGCAGCTCCCCGCTCTGCTCTGCTGCTGTGCAGCCTCTGAAGGAAAAGCGAGGGCTGGCGTCGATGACACACGATGCGCCAGACAAGTGCGATGTGATCCTGGTTTTCAAAGGGGGGTGGAAAGGATGGTGAGGGAGAGTGAGGGAATAGAGAAACCAGACTGAAGCTAGGTCCTGGCTCCTTAATTTATACAGTGTGATAGAAGGGTAGGGAAGGTACAGAAAGCATGTATTCTAGGCAGGAATAGTTGCTGCTGGTGTGGGCAATGCATGCAACAGTCCTATTCATTAACCAGTGTTTTGTCTCAGTTAAGCCGTGCAGCTTTTTATGGAGACAGTAATAATGAGAATAAAACCAACAAAATCTGAATTGTCTCAACAAAGCTGGAAGCCAGTGTGGAGGCAACTGTGCTCCTAGTCCTGCAGAACTCCCAGCCGGGCAGCCTCCTGCCGCAGGGGCCGGGCAGCCAGGGGCAGGAGGGTCCCGGCCGATGGCAGAGAGAAGAGTGCTCAACACCACCCTTTCACTGCACATCAGCCCTTCTGAACTCTCAGACGTAAATTAAAATTCAGCGTAATGGATTGCCAGGCATTACAGTTCAGTGTAACAACTGTCAGATACTAAGTCAACCCTGAGTGTCCCAGCCAGGCCAACCAACCATCCGGATCTGACAGAAACATATCTTGAAACAGTCTGAACTTGTGCTCATAACTCTTGCTTACACTTCATATGCTGGCTCTAAAATTGTTTTCCATTACTAGCTTTATTACAAGAGGTGATAAAATAGTTCTAAATGTCTAACTATATTTAATAAATATAAAATAGCTAGCTAACCTATAATTTAAAATAAACACTAAATAACCTTAAAGAGCTGCAGCATACCCATACAAATTCCACACACATTTTAAGTATTTCACTATGTTTTAAAAATGTAGCACCTTTATTTTCCCAGAACCCACAAATTACATATCATTTCCCTGACACACAGCCCTGCTACTGATAAGACAAGTTTAAAGACAAAGCGTGTAAAGCTCACCTATCAAAGGTACATTTTCAGAGGGAGGCATGATCTCTGCAACCATCAGCTGGAACACAGTCAGAGCAAGAAGAACCGTAACACCCAGAGACACTTTTTCCCCAGAGTCTGCAGGGAGATAGAATCCCAGTGGGGCCAGGAAAGAGATCAAAATGCAAGGAAGCAACAGATTAAATATGTAGAAAGAAGACTTCCTTTTCAAAATCAGTGTGAAGGTCACATCTGGATACGGCTCAGAGCAGCAGCCGTAAGTGATGACATTCTTAACTGCTGGCATACCATGAATCTCCCATTCCACATCTTCTACAAAGTCAGAGAGGTCACCACTATCAAGAGAATTGATGATGTCTACCTGATTACCATTATAGGTCCAGGACCCAAATGTAAGGTTGCATTGCTGGCTGTCAAAAGGAAAATAAGATACATCCACTACACATGAGCTCTTTGTGATAGCAGGTGCATCCCAAGTGATTTTTCCATCATATCTCAACACAACATTAGTATTCACTGGTTCTGAAAAGTCATCATCGGCCCTAAAAGACAGAAAAGCGACAGTCAGGATTGACAGGTAACAATCTAGAGTGTGGGCCAGGGAAGGTGGGGCAAGAGGGAAGACACTTGCTTCACGCCATTAAAAGCATGCTTCTGAAATAATATTTATATTTATACTGAATTTTAGTAGGAACTTACTATTAACTATTATTTACAGGTACCAGTTCCCATTAATGCCAAAAGTCAGTGCTGCTAAATTATGTGGTATTTGTTGCCCATAGCTTCTTCAAACAGAACACACTAGGATAAAAATCCATTTAGATATGAAAATAATCTGCTGGTCACTACTGGCCTGAGAGAGCAGACAAAAAGTGCAGTCTTCATGTACCACTTTTTTGTGGACAATGTTCCAGAGCTCTTCAGCAGCCTCAGCAGAACGCACTTCAGACTGACAGAGCATTCAATTCCCAGTGCAGAGAAATTCAGAACAGATTTGCTATGTAGCATAATCAATTACTAAGTCATGCCTATGGCTTTATTGCAAAATATTTAGATGATCAACAGTAAATGTTAAGACAACAAACATACCCCTTGCTAAGGTAAGGTAAAGCAGCAAAAGTTCAGACTGTGGGTCAATTCCTTCTTCAACCCCCTCCCTCCCTCTGACAAATATGCAAGTTGGTTTTCTCCAGCCACACTCACTTGTTATATAGGACAATATCTGGTCTCCAAACCAAATTGCTTGGAATCCTGATAGAATCCAACCCATCATATTTATCTTTGTCCCACTTGAGGTATGCATCATACCAGCTTTGTCGAATCCATAAGTAAGTTGACAAAATTTGGTTCCTTTCATCCTGCATAAAAAATGTAGAAATGTTTCTAGCTGAAGGTGACAAAATCACATCTTGGATGCAGACAGCATTTGTTGTGTAGCTTTAAAGCAGTGCCCAAAACAGGCCAGAATGCTGACAGGCCACAAAAACACTTCAGACAGGTACATATGCCCGTACACTGTACAGGGAGCTTATTTAGTCTGACTTCCTCTTGTCCAAACCTTCTTCCCCCTGCACCCTTCCTAGCTTTAATCATAGTTGTCTAAGGCTCCCAGTATCTTAGCAATTTGCTTTTGCGAGCTTCAGAATACCAAACAGCTAATAGATTCAGCCTAACAAATTCTCTGAAAGCTTGGTGAGGCCTTGAAGTTGTAATTCAGAAGTCACAGAGTCACAGAAGTGATTTTCCATTCCCCTTCCAGACACACTTTCTTTTGCCTTAAAAATATACCTGGCTGAAACAAATTTATAACAAAATTACTGAAGGCTAAAAACAGGGTACTTATGTAGAAATTAACTGCATCTTAGAAAAAGCATTAAAAACTCAGAAGAAGTTGCCTGGAGGGTATAATACTAACACCTAACTACAAAAGAAGTCTTAACAATTCAGCAGCTGTAAATTTGCAGGCTTATAATGGAAGTCTTAGTGTTGCAATCAGATAAGATTCTATGAAGGAGAACATGACCCTGTTGAAGAAGCACTACTGAAGTTGTCACAACAAAATGCAAGTTGCTTTTCCTACTCCAAGCAAAAGGTGTACAGCTAGTATATTTCTGCACATCTTTAGAAAAACAGAACTGTACTCTTACTCACCATGTCTTTAATTTGGGACAATGTGATCTGAAGGGTGACATTCAGTACTTTATCTGTGTCTTCCACTGGTCTTAGAGCATTTGAGTAGTCTTCAAACAGTTCATTGAACAGCATGTGAGCATATTTTCCTTTAGCTGATTCTACAGCTAGATAACAGATTTGTTCAGTATGTCAGATTAAGCACTAAGCAGTATCAGAAAATATCCTCTTTCTACAGCTTCAAGTAATATTTTCTATAACTGTATTTATCATTCATATACTGTAGAATATCATTTAGTGCAGAAACAGAAGTATACCTGACAAAGCTATTCAAATAAGGACAGCACTCACCTGTACTTAATGAATAGCTAACTCTAGCTTTTCACACACACTAAAAAAAAAAACAACCTACCACTGCATCCAGAGATTCATGCCTTTTTTTGAAGGTAAATATCATTACCTTTATTTTACTGGCATCTTTCATAGGCATAGAGATTATTGACTAACAGTCACACATCTGTCAGGCTAAAATTAGAAGCTAAATCTGAAGTCAAACCTGCTCCCAGGCTAACGACTTGTGATATCTCCCTAAATGCAGCGCTGATAGATTCATGCGACTTTCAGAATTTACTCTTCCCTTTTTAACTACCACCTGGAAAAAGTCTGAGCTGCTTTTCTCCCAAATTAGTAATTGACTGATGTATGAACACATCCTTGTACTAGCACCTTTTCCAAGCCATGTATTTGGAGATTTCTTGATATCTAGACTTAGTCACTATGGATAATTCACTGCAACTTTAGGTTTTAAATGGCACTTTTGCTGTTCCACACTGCGCGCATCACAATTTCTGCAGGCAGTCTCTATATTACCTTTAGACAGATTCACGCATTTCTGCAAGCAAAGCTCAAGGACAGTAACACTCACAAGACTTGCGCAAATGCCAGCTGACACTATGTAGGAAGCAAGTGCTTTGGTGTACATCACTCTCTGGTGACTCATAGTGACTTCCTGGACTAATAAGAGTTCAAAGCAAACCTTCCTGATTAAAAAGAAATCCTAAAAAATCAAAGCTTCACAAAAAGCATTTAAATTCTGGCTGCACACGATTATTTTGTCTATGCATCAGTGAGACAAAGTCAATCAAAACAGATGAAAGACTTCTGGAGCTCAACCATGTAAGACACATCAGGACACCAGCTCCTATGAGTAAAATAAACCTCAATGCAACATTTAGCTATCGAGCAGTATTCTCACCTTGAAGCATCACTGCTGTAAACAGCAACCAGAGAGAGGCGGAAAAGGAGGACAGGCTATTTCTCTTCATTTCTGAACCTTAAATAAAACTGTTCACTCAAGGGCACAAGAACGTTTATCACCATCCAAATCTAACAAAAAAAAAAAAAAAAAAAATCAAGTTGCACAGCAACATAAAGGTGCTGAGGCACTGATGAGCTGCTAGAAGCAGCTCAGTTCTCAGCAGCTGTCAGAGTCCCAGAACGATCCCTGCCACCGCCCGGGGCTCGGAGGAGCCCTCCCTCTCTCCGTAACCTGAGAGCTGCCTGCTCTTAAGCTAATGCTGAGGGAGAAGACAAACGGATGGGATATCAGTAGAAAAACTATATTCTATTGCATTTTTTACTACAAATGTAAGATTTTGACTAATTTATGAAGAACTCTTTGACGTTTCTTTGGTGGACCACATTTTACTGTCCTTATGTTCAGCAGTATCTTCCTCAGAACCAGTTCTGTGGAATCTGAGGACCATCACAAAAAAGCGATCTGCCTCAGTACTTTGTCATGATCACAGTGTACATCACACATCCAATGTCATACACCAAAAAACCCCACAGACTACTTACTCCCATGCTGACAAAACAATGTTTTCACCTACCAGAGTGGTGCCACATGGAAGTGATGCAGCTACACCAAAGTTGGACAACATAGGCAACATCTGCAGTAGCCCTGTATCTGTGCAAAGAACTTCTGCTGGTGTAAACAACTCTGAGACCAGTACCCAGCACAATCAGGAGCAAAACTAGACTCTGTAGATAAAATGCCATTTCCCAGTACAGCACAACTGTTAACTCAACAAGACTTTACAAAGAATTACTGAGTTACTGGACAGCTCTTGCATTTAGCCAAAAGACTTATAAGGCAGAAGTATAAACATGAAACATCATCAAACCTCCCCTCCCATCTACCCTGACGGTCAGAACTTCATTAGCTCTGTCTATATTACTCATGTTACTCAGTTAGCTTCCTAGTACTGCAGGCAATTTCTTACAAGTTTCTCACAGACAAGAGAAGATGATTTCCTCTTTTCTGTAACCCAATCTAACCTTCCTCATACAGTGGTCTATTTTGCCATCCTTTTAGAACAGATACTAGAAAACAGTCACTAAAATAGAAAGGTGAAAATATAGAATGAACTACCAACACAAAGAATTGGTCCAGAATAGTTCTGATATAAACAAAATATACTGTTGCTTTACTCTTGCATAGTCTTTTGTCTAGAAGGCAGCTGATCCCTCCATACCTGTAATTTCTGTAGAGTAGCACTCCTGGTTCTCACTGGCTAATGTTTGTGCTTTTGTGGGGTCTATAAATCAATGACATTTATGGCCAGGTTTAATAGGTAAGCAATAAATAATTTCAGTCAAAGCACCTGTAATGAAATCCATCTCCATCACTTCATTTGCTGAATTGTCAGAGGGAAAAAGCGGAGGACAGTTTAAAAGTCAAAAAGGTCAAAGCAGCCCATAAGCAGTATGTAATAACCTGCTTTTTCCTGTGGGAATAAGGTATATACTGTTAGAAACAACAAAAATCAGAGACAAAAGATGGAAGAATTTTGGATACAGTCAGATCAGTGCATTCTCAGGAGATATCTTTAGTCTACAGTACATTGCCATCATGTCAACAAGTAGCTACTGCTTCACTTCTCTCACTGTAATTACAGGAGTGACCAGGGGTACTGCTTTAAGTGTGCTGCTATAAACACTACTGGAACAAAGACTAAGCTTGCTTTGCCACAGGCTTGAGACAATCTTGTGACCTGTCACACCAGCAATACTTTATCTGCCAAGTAGTGCAGATGGATGTACTGTAATTTGCATAAGATCACTTACATTAAAGAACCTTTCACCTTTCTTGTAATGACATCTTCTTGAAGGGAAGCTGCAGGTTCTCAAAAGACAAAAACAAGAAGCATGCTTACATGTGTTGTTTACTCAATTTATTCTTATATACACATATGTTCCGTATGTTATTCATTATAAACTTGCAAAGGGATATTTCCAGTCATCAAATATATCCAACTGTTGCCACATACTGGACATACAGACAAGCAAACATACATAAGAACATGCTTGTTATCTTTGAGATGCTGCCTTGATTACACAGTGCTTGTAAAAATAAAACTAAAATACAACCAAAAGCCTTTTCAATCTTAAGAATACAAGAAATTTATCAATCTTAGTATGCCAGACCATTTGGCTTCTTTACATTTGTTCACAAGAAGTCTGATCTGTAATTTTAATCAAAATGTCCCTAATGTAGACATTTTGTATGAAGAGTTAACATTAATCATTGTTCATTGATCTGAGATTCATCTACAAACCCATGCTTCCTCAGAATATAGTTTTAAATTGTGGTGTTATCTACGGCAACAGTACCCCCAAATCAAATATTCAATATTTGAATGGAGCTTAAATTTATAGTCAAGCAGTTCTCTATTTTTAGAGTAAGTTCTGCTACAAAGTCAGGAATTAATATGAAGTACAAAGCAGCTTACAAAGATAATTTAAGAAGAGTCACGGGTGTTTGGAAGTTAGAATCAAGCCATTAACCTCTCTCAGAACTAGACCCGTTCCCAGCAAAATTCAAAGTTATCTTGTCAGAGTGTATCTGCCAGCAGATGGCCCTGTTAGCCAGCCTACAGATCTACCCAGATATTCAAGATTATTTTTGTTTATCACAAAAATCACATCATATTTTAATCTACTTGGACTAATTTCACTGATTATTTGCCTCACATTTGATAAAAGACAAGCAGAGACATGATGTTCTTTTAAAGAAAAAAGATAACCACAAGGAACAAAAACGCTTACTGGCTGAATCCAGCTCTCTGGTCTGTCTACCATACATGAGACCAGTCACGAGAGGGTTTCAGGGTGAGCAAATATATATCATTGTCAACAACTGTAAGATATGAAACCATATTTAGAGCACAGGCCACTTCTGCTGATGCAGAGAGCAGTTAGGGCCCATGACATAACATCCAACCCTGCTTCCATGTATTTTGTTCAAACATTTGACTTTGTAAGAATGCATATAGGCTATTAGCAGAACAGAACACTGTGTTCGTGCTTACATTCAGTGGGACAAGAGTGTACCGTTCTGTGGTGCACCGAGCTTGTACAACACTCATGACACATGTGACTTTTTATGGTTCTAGACAAACATATATGCTGTTATCAAGACAACATCAAAAAAACCTGACTTCAGTGTAGTGCTATATAAGGGAAGTTTGAGTTTGCATGCACTTTAAAGACAGACTGGACATTACATTGGAGGATCTCTTTCATATTAAAAACTTCCAACGTTCTATATTTATCTCAGCCAAATTATAAGCAAAGCAGGAAAGAAGTTTAAAAACATTTAAATTTTTTTTTTCTTTCAATTAAACAAATCTTTCCTTTCCTGCCTAAAATAACAATTTGCTCCCAAGGCTGAGTCTTTGACATGCACATTTTCAGAATTTTTTTTGAATGGATTCTTACCCTTTTTTTGCATAAAAAGCATTAAGAGTTTTTGAGACTCCAACTGGAAAAGCTACAGATACTGTATTATCACAGGCCTCAAGGCCGTCTGTACCATGTATAATCCATCCCTTCATCAGAGAACAATGAAGAAGAACAGATTGGTTTCTAAGCACAGTTTGTAAGAAGTGTCTCACAGTCTGCTTCTACTTGTCTTCCTGCCAATTTTTCTCCCCAGAAGCTGTTGCGTTCACATTCTTCGCAGCATTTGCTACAGAATATTATCTTGTGATGGGGTCAAGCAGCACACTAACTCTTCAGAGTCAGACTTCTCTCCTTAGATTAACTGAAGTCTTAACAGCATGAGTAACAACAGCTCTTCTTGCCGGTAGAATAGCCTCACTGTGCCTGCTCTGGAGAAGGAGAATACAGCACTTCATTTAGATGCAGTGTTTCTCTCCGCCTCATTTTTTTCTCACCCACCTACTACCTCCTCCTTCCTTCTCTCTAAAAAATCTCCTACCACCTGAAACCAGCATACTCATTCATATTTTCTTCCACCCTGTTGTACACATGGAAGATAGGAAATACATTAGGAAGCATTCACGTTGTCAGGTCAGGAGATAATGTAGAATACTGGCCTTTTCAGAGATGGGAAATCCTAATTTGCATGTTACAGTTGTGAGCTTTTCCAAACATGAATTTTACTTAGGTCCACTTAGGTAGCTCTGCTGACCACCTCCGAGCACCGTAAGTAGAGAAACCTTTTGCCTCTAGAACCCTTATACTATTTAATGTGATCTGAAATGCAGCATATTCATCTTTTTTTTAACCGGGATGCCTGCAAGCTGACTGGTATTTTGTCCATCCTTGAGAAGCATTCAGTATCTGGCAGGGTTAAGAACAAAGCCATTTAATAATTTTAGCTATCAGAAAGCTATTTTATATACAGCTCTTTCTCATTGGGATCATTTGCAGCTTTGTATCAGGCCTTTGAAGAGCTGATCACAAGATCTGTGCTCTACACAAAGACAACCTCTGGGCCTAGACGCTGTTCCAGATCACAGGTTTGCTCTGACAGGCAGCCTGATGCTCCAAACCAAACTGGATTGGAGAACTATTTCTACCCCATTACAAGGGTTTAGACAGACTCAAGCATATTCCTCTATTATCACTCCTGAGCCATGGAAGGCAGCACACTACCTCAGCTTTTGGAAGTAGAGGGAAGTCCCGCAGGCACCACTGCAGGCTGAAGACAACTCTAGGTTCCCCAGAAAGCAATTCCTTCAGCTTGCGTGAAGGTTTAGAACACAACTGAGGCTCATCCGGTTCACAAAGGTATCTGCACAGAGTCTAACATCCCCTGAAAACATAAGCTTTCCTGATAAGCTCACATCTACCTTGCAACACGGAATACAGGTACATCTAAACTTCTGTGTCATTATCTGAATTGCTCAGAATTTAAAGAGTTCCCTACAAAATGCTATGACTGATGCTGTGCACTAATACAGTGCAGCTGGCTGAAAAGACAGGATGCCAGATGATAAAGACAAGAAAAAAAACA